TAAATAAATTGGTTCATATTATGTTGTTAGATACCAAACAAATATCTCTTATATGCAATTGAACTTATACTTTAGATGATGTTGCATTGCATATATATATATATTATTAATTTTTGGTAAGCAAGAGTGTCTAAGTTGATAATCGAGTAAATCATTTCGATAATCATTTTTTTTAATAACATAAATTAAAACTTTTTAAATAATACACAAAATAATCTTAACTGATAGTTAGATTGATGTACTCTCCATTGCATATTTGCATGCATAAAAATAGAACTAATCCATAGCATCTCGTACCAAAACCTTTTAATATTTAATAGCAATTAGTGGATTGTCGTTGAAGACGCTGTGGAGCACGTATAAATGATTAAGTCAAAATTTTTAAATCCAATTTAAATATAACATAAACTTTGAGAAATAAAAAAAACCCCTTATGTTTTATTTGGTAACAAAAAAAAATTAAAAAAGCCAGTAAAAATGGGAAAACTACAGCTGGAATGGTCAGGGTTTGGTCTGCGTGGCGGAACGAAATCGAATCAAAACAACAAGTCCTTACTGTCTAACTCATCCTCTCTTACACGTCAACCTGACGTTACGTTTTCTTAGTCGGCAGCGCCTCGTCACCGTTCTTATGCTCCTCGGCCATTGGGCCATATCTTTTTTTTACATTTTTATAATCGGGTCGGATGGACCCCACACGTTTATGAGAAAACCGAGACGGGTTTAGTGGGCCCCACTTCATCCTAACTCGATTCTCGATTTCGTTACCTCAGCCGCGGCGGTTACCAATTTTTTTTTGTTTTCCTCTTCGTTTCAAGTTTCAACGTCCCAAACAGTTAAAAAATCTCTTAACCAGTCTCAGTACTGACGCGTGGTGAGTAGTAGCTTTATCAGTTGGGGAGGATAGCACGTGCTCTACTTCAGAGCTGGTGGGGTGAAGCTACGTCGTTTTCAGAAGGTCTGTTTGAAGAAAGATAAGAAGATTACATGTATCAGAACTCTTTACCCAGGAACAGGAAAAAAGCTAAATCGTTAAAAAGAGTGGTGGCGATCCAAAGCACAAACGCATACGCACCTAAAGATTTCTTATACCTATAATCAAAAGTCAAAGAATTGATTCCCCGTTTATCTTTTCATTTCCCAACCGCAAGATCTTGACACATGGGCAATTTCTCTCGAATCTCAACCGTCTGATTACCACTTTGATGGGCATTTAACATGGTCCATGATCAACCCAAAGATCCATCAACCATCTTTCTAGTTTCCACAAAAATCAAAAACAAAAGGAAAAAAAAAGCAGCTTGGTCTGATCTCACTCTCTCTCTCACTTCATTAATCAATAGTATCTTTATTTATAAACATTAATTTAAAATAAAAAGCAATGTAACATGCAAACCCACATGAAATTTGAAGCTATATAATTATAATTAATTTGGATGGTTTTCAACTTTAGAGTTACATATGTACATTTAAATAAATACCACTTTTGGGAATGTTGAGTGGACAATATAAATTATTAGGAAGAATATGCCGTATAATATTCGGCTGCTGCTAAGCTGCACGTGCATTTGTTCCATGCACGATACTCAATTCATGTGACGTGACCACTAAATTAATGTATATTTATAATAATTAATCATAATAATACGACGAAATTACTGTAAGTTATTTGAAAAAAAATTCTTTTAAAAAACTATAGGAATATAATAGGATATGATTAAATCCAATTAGGTAGGATTTTGAAGATGTATTTAGTATAATATCTGAAAATTATATCTGAGTTAGATAAAAATTAGAATACTTATTTGATATATTTTTGGAAAATATTTAAATTATTTTTAATCTCTTACATTTGTTAATTTAGTTAAATACCCCTATAATAAAAATTTATAAATTAACAAAAACAACCCCCACTTATCCAAAACTGTCGACAGCTGGTAGTCGTCGGAATAACGCACGACTGGTTAGATTTGACCAATTGTGCATTGATTTGGCCGTTTCTGGCCAGATCCATCAAAATATGGTCATCGTCAACAGACAAATCGGTGCACTATCGGCTAGCTCTGGTCGATCGTGTGTCGTTTTGGTGTCGACGGCCAAAAGTGGTTACTAGCAAGCTATAGTGGCTTGGATGGGTAAGGGTGTTTTTGTTAATTTATAATTTTTTATTATGAAATATAATTATTTTTAGTTCAATAAAATTAAAAAAAATGTTAAAATAGAATAATAGATATGATGTCTCACACGCTTTATATTTTCAATAGAAAAAATTATATATGATTCGCATTCATTTTCAAAATAATGATCTAAATAATTAAACAACATATATTCTGTACTTCAATCTACATCAGATAACAGAAAAATTATTGAAAAGAAACAAACAAACAGGAGGCATGTTTTTATAGGAGCGAGTGGATTTGCTCACCCAAAGTTTTTCGTCATTGCATTTTCCACCCATAAAAAAAAAAAAAAAAAAAAAAAACATTTTTTCACCTATGTTACATTCAAGTTAGTTTTAAGAATAATACTACACATACATCATTCTCATACAATATTTTTCATACAACATTATAAGTTAGTTTTAAGAATAATACTACACATACATCATTCTCATACAATATTTTTCATACAACATTATGTAACAAAATGTGATCAGATGAAAGTTTAATTTTAACTTTAAATTAGCCAATCATATTTTGCCACATAATGTTGTATGGAAAATGTTGTATGAAAATGATGTATATGTAGTATTACTCTAGTTTTAATAGCAAAAGGATATTGTTGTCCGTTTACACAATATATATTGTTGGGTCAATATTACTTACACCCCTAAATTACAAACACATAAAATTACCTTCATCAACTTGGAAGTTAGTCGTTTAAACCCCAATTTTCAATTTCTATAATTACAATGGAGGTTTTACTTTTAAAGTATTTGTGTTTCTAAAAAATTAAAAATTGTACATATTATTTTCAAAAATATAATAATAAATGTTAATTGAATATTTATAAAACTACAAAACAATATTTCATTAAAATTATATATATTATGAAATATATAAAATATAATTTCAAAAAAGAAAAAGAAAAATTGTAAAAAAGAAGAAAATTCCGAAAATAAAAAATTATGCAAAATTGAAAAAAACAATAAAAAACTAAAAAAAATAGTTGGGTGGAATTGCACCCAATTGGGTCGAATCAGGTGCAATTTTGGCTAACTATTTTTTTTTTCAAAATTTCAAAATTTTGTAATTTTTTTAAATGTTAATAACTAACTGTATTTTTAAAAAAATTTGTTAATCTTAAAATTAATATAAACGAAACTAGGGGTGAAAATTACATTTAATAAAGTTTGAGTGGGAAACTGTTATTTAGCCTCATTAAAAATTATGAAGTTAAATAGTAAAAGTTACTATGGTCTTCTCTAGCTTTACCCCTATCAGTAGGGATGGGCAGGTCCGAGTACCTAGCCTAAATCCTGGGAACTAGTACTACAATTGGAACAGGTCGGTTTTGGATACCCTGCATTGTTCCCGAAAATTACAACCCAAAGTCTTCATCACATATTTAATTTCCCCCAATTCCTCTTCTCAACCCATTGGCATCTTTGATCAGAGCCAATACCATTGTCCTTGCCGAACGTGTAAGTTGTAACACGCTGCCGTTGAGCTACCAGATCCCATTGCTGCCTTGCTCTGCCATCTCTTTTTTTCCATTTTGTTTCTTCACTTCTCTTTATTGTTTTTCTAATTCTTCACTTCCTCTTCTTTTTTTTCGCCTCTCCCTTTTCTTCCATCTTGCACTAATTCCTCTTCTCAAACTATTGCCATCTTGATCGAAGCCAACACCGTCGTCATTGCCAAAAGTGTAACACGTCCCATCGACCTACAGATCCGTCGCCCCGCTTGCTTTGCCATCTCTTTCTTTGCATTATATTTTCAATTTTCTTCTCTTTCTTTTTTTATGTTTCTTCATTTTCTTCTCTTTTTGTGTCTCTTTTTTCATTCATCTTCTTTTATTTTCCTCTTTCTCCTCCTCTCTTAACAAAAATTTTCAATATCTGGATCCCAATTAGTAAACCCCCAATTAGTAAACCCTAAATTGTTATTTGAAAGATAAATACACAAAGAACCCCTATTTATTCTATTTTTTATGAAATACCAATTAAGTCTCGATTCTCAAATTGATTCCAACCTAGATACCTAGATCTCGGTTCTGGTCCCCGGGTCAGTTTCATTCCTTGTAATGGTGAAACTGGTATTAGAAGTCTAGAACCACACAGTACCCGTTCCACTAGGTTGGGAATCAAAACCAAACCATCGGGTACTCACCGATTCCAATTCTGCCCAAAAAATCTGCACACCCCTACCTACAAGGTAATAGATTCCATTGACAAAGATTGACGATGGGAGGGAAAATGTTTTTTTTCAAAATTTATGAGTGGGAAAAATAATTATGACAAACCTTGGGGGGGAAATTGTTATTCACTCTTCTTATAGCACAGCATAGTTGTCTGTGTCTACTCATGGACCTCAGAGCATCTGGTTTTCAGGTCCCACAAGATCTCCTCCATTTAAATTATTGCTCATTAAACACTCGTAGTCGTTAACAAAAGTTTGAGAAGAACCAGAGGCTGCGGACCTTTTCTTTAACAGTCGTTTCATTCATGATTGACTAACAATCGAGAGAATTTTATTATTTGACATAAAAAAATATTAATTTAAATAATAAATTAATAATTAAAAATAGTAAAAGAATGGGAATATATTGTAGAAAGTGGAGCGGTATTGGACAGGTAAGCAAAGTACGGAAGCGAAGAGGGAAAAAAGGTCCACTGATTCTCTGAAAAGTGTTGGGTGGGCAGTGGTGTGCCACGTCTACCGAATTTTCCATCTTTTTGATCTCCACCCTCGTTTGTGTCTTCAGTTTTCAAAAGCTTAATTTCCACATACAGAGGCCAATATTTTCTGTTTAAATTATTATGATATGTTCAAATCAAATCAAATACAACCACCCACTTGATTCATTCAACTTAACATATCAGGGTTTTGCTACAATTTAATATTATACCAATACATTAAAAGTAAGACTTGTAAAGTATTATACACACAGCACACAAAAATACTTGAAACCACTATTCAATAAGACTTGATGTACCAATTATCTAAGCTTCTAACTCACTATCTCCCCCAATGTAACCGCGGCGAAGACAAGAAAAAGAACACCTCCAACATAGGCTATTGCCTGCAGAAGAATCAAAACAGTAACATTTTTATGTATGCTATGCTCTTTTAAGAGAGATTATGTGAAAGATAGATGAGTGAAATGGATGGAGTGGAAGGCAAGAACATATTCAACCAACACAGAGGAGGCCCACTGATGAGATATTTTAGCTTGGGGAAGCGTTGAGGATAAAATTTATGTGGTTGCTTGAACATGTTGGTCCAACCAACCAACCTTTTTAAGGTACAAATACCATGATGTTTGCGCAACTTTACATTCTTGGACTTGACCATTGATACCATGGAAAAAATCTACTGACAGGATTCCTTATAGCTTCCAACTAAACTTTCTTTACACTACATACATATATATCTTCCACAAAAAAAGTAGACATCTTTTTACTCGATTCTGAACAGCTCTCATAGGCCTTATTACGTCCAAATTCAACAAGTTTTGAAAAGAAGCATTCAGAGTAATTATTTCAGTTGATTAATCGAAGCTATGGCAGAAATAATACTGATGCTGATAGCAACCTGGAGTTTGAGAACAAATTTGACAGTTATCTAAAGTAGAAGTGAGAGTAATTCCGTGCTACCGAAAATGTCTTGAGCATGTACCTGCCTATTACTTGTTGGCATGTGAAGTCTCAGATTTTTCTCTAAAGTGAATATAAATCATTCAATTTCAATTAAAGAGATTAGGTTTTTTAAATTGAAGAATAAAGTGGAAATGATTTAACCAAATATGCCGCGAAGCTAGACACTGATGGTACTCTACTTTTTCTGACTAAATACCCCTTACCACGTAGCTAAAACATTAAGACCTTTGGAAACTCACATGAATAACAGTCAGAATAGCATAAATGTTTGGCTAATGGAGGAGGTTTAAAGTTTGAATTTACCTTCTCCGATAAGAATGTCCCTAGTAAAGAACCACCAAGCACAGCAAGCTGTATAAGAGAATTAGAAACCAATTACGCCTGCTGATATGAACAAGATGAAAGGGAAAGAACAATTTGTCTATTGATTCTATACAACTCATCCGCAAATTTTGATTAGCAATCTGCGATACTAGGGTTCATTGCTTCTAATTTATAATCGTGTACATCTTGCAATTTTAAGCTAACCACTAGACCAGAAACCAGTTCCGAAACCAAAAGGCAGCTTTAAGAAAAGTGACAGCTCGTAATATTGCTAAGCTGGTAGATTGTTTTGGCGGAAGTAAGGAGTTACCAAAGTTGCAACACCATGACCAGCCAATGCTCCCCCAATGACTCCAAGAGGCGAAGAGGCTGCGGCAAGTGCTGCGTAAGAAGAGTAAAATATGGGTTAGTAGTTAGTATAGATGACTTCAGAAGGGAGGTTCTCAGTTCTCACTGGGACAGTTGAGGCTGAAAAGCAGATAATTAAGAATGCTGGAATAACCAAAATGGAACAGTCATCAAAATAAAATATACCACGGGCTTAGACATTAACAAGGATATATTTTACTTTGTTTTTGTGTTCACACCAAGGGAATAAGGATAAATTCTTCTAATAAATGATTCTCTATTATCTCTCATGAACAATAAATTAAATTAAATTTAGAACTTTCAGCCTCTTGCTGCACTAACCTATTGTGGAGAAAAATGATTTATCACCCCATTCAGCAACAAAAACTAGGATGAAGGTGCTAATAATGGTGTTTGCAGCAGCTAAAATTCCAGCACCGTTTCCTGAAAATTCTGACACTGCTAGCTCTGCCTGGATTGCAAGACAAACATAATCCTATGTGAGATTAACTGTTATCAGTAGAGAAGTGGTGAATGATAATAGATTTTGAATTGCCATGGAAGGTTCTTGCTGATGATCGGATATTTAAAAATTGCAAATTCACCTCCTTTTGTTCATCTTCTGCTTTTAGACCATCACTTGAGCTGGCATCAAGCAATGTTGAAACACCAAAATAGACCTGATTTATGTTTAAATTGTTTCAGTCAGTTGCTTATTCAATTGAGAACAAAGTTCTTTAAATTTTGGTGCCTGTGTTATTGCGCGCATTGTACGGCATTAAGCCTTAGCATAAAATGTCTAGGAAGATTGACTTTACCAAAAGGAAAACTGCAGCAATGTCATCAATGGGCAGATCAGTCTCACCAAACCTGTGCATCAGAAGATCATATAACAATTGCACTTTAATCTTTCTCAATTAAATATGAAATAGGAAAGATCAAGGTACAAGTACAGAATAAGAAATCTAGGGATCCTTCTCAATATTGCTTTTGAAAAATATACCACTACACTTAAAGAGTAAATCTTTTACCATAGCTGGCCCACAGAATGATATGAAAAAAAGAATTTCTGTGAATCACATTTATGCAATTACCAGAAAAAAAAAAAAAAAAAAAAAAACAACGGAGTAGAAAATTAGGTGAGCATAAGCATCAAAGCGGTTTCATTTCTTGAATGTAATTGGCTAATTGCTGTCCTTCATTTCAATGCAGGATAGATGGTTAGAATTTGACATTTAAAGAAATCAAAACCAAATATCCTGGATGGAATCACATAAAAAATTACTTGAAACCGTCTGCACTGCTGCATTTAATAGAATGCAATTAGTAGAATATGTCTGCGAACAGCTTAATAAGAACTCAATGAAAAAGCACCTGAAGGGAAGGATTTCATCAACATAGTGAAAAGTTCTTCCAAGAATGACGGATATGACAGTCATTGCCCTGTCATAATTGATAAACACTTCTATTACTTGAAAAGCATGAAATTTCCAATTCTGTTTTAATATAGGCAAACAAACAAAGTGGTTATAATTGCAAGATGACTTACCCCTACAAAATAAAATTTTTATGAGGTATTGGCCTAAAACTATATGAACAATTGAAACTTCATCCTTTGTATTAAAAATTAGAATGTGCTCCCAGTAAAAGTTAAAACTAAAATCTTAACACACTAGTTAATAACTTAAAAGAAAAAATATCATGCATTCTATAGACCTGTAAGGAATTTCAGTAATAGAAAGTTGAAAATGCAAAAGGCATCTAAATCACCATGCACGAGCAGAATAACATACGCAAGTGCACCAAAGGTTCCAATGAAAACAGTTGCAGCAGAATTCCTAGCAGCTAAAAGTGCCTGTAGAAGAAAAAAAAAAAATCATATTGAGGTTGATTCAGTGAGACAGGCAAATTGCGTATGTTTGCTCATAAAAACAGAGATATGCATATACATACGTTGGGGGAAAATAAAAGGTACTACAGGAACAAATACCCACTCAAAGAATTTTTAAAGATTTAGATCAGTTCTTGAATGATTATATATTTTTTGTTTAACTGTATTCTTGCAGAAGAATATAGATGAAATAGAATAGTGATTGCCCTTCTATAATTATTAATCAGGACTGGAAAAGCGTGTGATGACATAAATTCTTCCAATAAGAAATAGAGATTAAATTTTATAAAAGCGGAAACAAATATACAAGCATAAATTCTTAGTTTCTCACATGCATAAATTTATGTCATTCAGAGAATTGTATTTTTAAAACCTCGATTATACATTGTGTAAACAACTAACTACCACTCTTACCGCAATGAAAAAGGTCTTATCTCCCAGTTCTGAAAAGAAGATGAGCAAGAATGCCTGCAATTGACAATATCAGCTGCTGGAGTTACTATGAAGAAATTGATTCTAGTAAAAGGGAAACAAGAGTATTATACTCATTTGGCAGGGCATCGATCACAGGACTTAATATTATCATGATGACTGAACTTAGACTACCATTCTTTCTTATACATTGCAGAGGACACAAAATCCATGTTTGCCACTCAAGCATGCATCCATGAAGGTCACTTGAAAATGCTGAATGCTAGAGATTATATTACATATTATTATACTGCCAGAATAGTATAAAGCTTAAGGTTAATGAAACAAATCATCATCAGACATATGACAGATCTAATCATAGAAGTCATCTAATGTGGGTTGCTCTTAACAAACAACCTCTTCTCTCTTGATCACCATAGGCACCCCCCCATGTTATTTGAAAATGAAAAGCGACGGATACTTCTACAATGAAAATTGTGGATGAAATCATAAGCTTGGGTATGCCAAACCATTTAAAGGTACTAAGTCCATGAAGCCTATATCTGTTAAACTAACAGGGCAACTTAATTTCAACTAAGAGCTATATATTGAAAAGATGAAAAACATGTTCAGTCTTTTAGTGCAACGATAAAAATGCCAGTTATAGAAGTTACAGGGAGAACTCCTAACTGAAGCAAAACCTGTGCTAATATCACCAAGGTCCCCAATATAAGGAATGGACTGCAACCCACTGCCAAAATCTGTACCAGCAACTGCTGGTTGAGATCCTTGAAGTGTTAACAACCCAAATAAAATCATAAACTTCATGATGCCACCAAATGATGAACAACAATTAATGATATCTGCAGCTATTTGATAATCCCTTCTCGAGCTATTCTTTATGTGCAAGTCATCTGAAAAAAAAGAATGATCCAGGCTGTGAAGTGACTCTCTGGTCGCACAGCAATTCTTGCAATCAGTGTGCCTAACTTCCTGCATCAAAATGTAACCCCACCTAGTGAAAAGACATTACACAAATAAAAAGAAAAAGTGGACATATATCATTAAAACATTAAGTATAACACAGGGACGGCTGGCATATATCATTTACGTAGCAAATGAACAAGGTAGTTAAGTATAAAATTTAGCAAGTCTCCAACATCAGCAAGTAAAAGTCACAGACCTCTAGGTTAATTGATTCAACTTATAAATAATTGAATTTAAGAGAATTTTTCAGAACCGGAAGATATTATCCAACTAATTGAGAGGCCACGATGGAGGTGTGAAGGTATACAAGGTTTCAACCAAATTCAGGTCCATGACTAGGAAGTACAAATTTCCATGCTAAACCTAAACTGAGATTATGGTGGGAAACGATCTTACTGGAACTAAGCAGCAGATCAACATCAAATCATAGACTAATTGCATAAAAGTTACATAGACTAATTGCTCAACAGTTAACATTCATTTTACATTAAGTAAATCAAAATTCTAGTTGTTATGTTTTCTACTGTAATTGGACTTAGAAATTAGTATGCCAAATGTAATAAAACCATCAAACAGTCACTCTCAACAGCCATCGTCAGGAATAAAAACTGTTAGTTTAAAAAATTCATCAGTATTTGTTCATACCACACACTTATTACAGTCAATATCCAGAAAGACTCCCGAATTTCTCTAAAATGTATAGCAAATTTTTTTATAAAACTAAGAAGAACAACAAGATTGCTAAGAAAACTTGCAAGGACATCCTGATTTTCTAACACTGTCTGTAGAGAGCGCCCAAACCACTCCTCACTTCTGTTGTCACACCACTTTCTGGAGCCCCTGCATAAGAAAAACCTTGTCATTTCAATTTTTAAATAAAATGATTCGTTCAGCTCTTGAAGTTACGAAATTCAATAGAAATACCTGGAAAAAATGAGACTTGGGTTGCGACGGGAGAGCTTCGAAGAGTGGTTCTTGGAGAAAGAGTTGAAAGAAAAGAAACGGGTGTTACGAGACTTTGAAGGTTTAGGAGATGAAGGCAAATAGTGTGCCTTCAAAACGCTCCATGAGAGCGTTATGCTTCGCATGGCTTTCACACTCTCAATGACTCTGAACCTTTGGCTCTGTTTCTTTCTTTCTTTAACTGTCAATACACAGAGGATAGAGAGATAAGCTATCTGTGTATAGCGCCAATAAATTTTCAGCCTTTTATCTTCTTCCCAAATTACCTACTTTTACCATAGCATTCATGGACAAGATAACCCCATTAAGGATGTTAAGTCGGTTTCCAAGCTGATGTTTGAGCGGTTTGTCGTTCATGGCTTAAAATATCTACCTACAAGTCGTCCGTTAATAAAGAAACCCTCTGGTTTAACGGTTAGTAACAGTTGGGAAAAACGACAAGCCGACATGTTTATAATGTTTAATGGGAAAATTACTAAGCCTCCTTAAAATAAATCATTTACCAAACGTTTCAAAAACTAAATCTAATATACCCATCTGTTAATAAAACAGTTTAGTTATGCCTGGAGAATGCAGAGTTTCTTATCTATTGGTCACTGCTTAACCCAAAAAAACTAATTTTTTTTGTTTTTCAATTGTGTTTGATCACAAATCATTAGTGTAGTGCTAGTTATAATCAACCTGAATTTGGATCATGATCTGGTTCACCGGTCACAGAGGGTAAACCAAAGCTAATCCAAGGGTGCTCTGGTTGATATTAATACATCAGCCTCTGCTTTATTGCATCTACAAATAAACATCAATTTCTTGGAGAATGATGTAAAACAAATTAAAAGTATCATAGACGAAGCGTATATAAAAGCAAAAGGCCCAAAATGGAGCCCAAATTAAACTTCTCCATCAGAGGTATCAGTCATCAAAGTGGCAATTCCTCTCAGCCATGAAGAAGTCAGCAGTTCCTCCAGTAACTGAAATATCCTTTCTTGGTGGAAATGCATCTCTGATAAGATTCTTGGCGGAGAGTCTGGAGACCCAATAATTATATATACGTAGTAAATACCAAAGTTAAGGCGCTAGATATCCCAATATTTAAGGTTTTCTTTTTCTTTTCTTTATCTCCACATAAAACTGATAGAGACACAGTTCACAAAAAAAAGAACAATTCGAATTTCGTATTAATTTGCGAATTGAAGCCAATACATTATTATTTATCCTTATGAATTAAAAAGGGCAAACAAATCACCAGCATTCATACAAACTGATATTAAGGCGGACCCTAAAATATACTTCCCCCTCAAAGGCATCAGTCATGAAAGTGGCAATACCTCTAGCCATGAAGAAGTCACCAGTTCCTCCAATCACTGGAATCTCCCTAGTCTTTTCCAAGAATGGATCAGCCCCAGCAAAGGTTACAATACCATTGTGCTCCGTAGAATTGAACAAAAAAGAGAAACCAAACCAAGTACTAAAGGTTTGTTTCCCGTCGTATAAATAAAGCCCTTGTGCACGTCCAACTGGGGTTGAATGCAGATTGTTGTCTAAGGTAATAGGGTCATCGAACACAATTATGTCGCCAAAATGGGTTGGTTCGGCTAAGATATTCTTGTCGCCCCAAGCCGGTGCAGCTACAATTGCTGAAGTTGCATTCTCCGCGTTCTGTCCATTGTAAAGTATGTCATGAAAGTAGACCACAAAAGTTTTACATGGCTCGCGTGATATCTTTTTCTGAGTGGCTGCAGAAGTAGAGATGACCAAGAGGAGACAGAAGAGAAGTGAAATGAGTTTGCTGGATCCCATTTCTTGTTTTCAGCTAACTATATATATATATGTGTGTGTGTGTGTGTGATAGATATGCCAGAATTATATGCCTTGAGGATAGCTGCTCTGGTCTCGATATATTTATACTGTTGTGAAATCAGTTGAAATTGGAGTTTGATTGGGTTGTGGAATTGATTTTTGAATTGTTTGATTTTTTATTTAGTTTTTTGCTTTTGTCTTTTCAATTTTGTCTGTGTCTTCATATTTTGTTTGATTTTTTATTTTGATTGTTTTGTGTTGTGGGGAAAGAAGAAAGGCCGGCTGTGGTGGTGGTTTGGGATGGGGTGATTTGGAATGGGCTGTGAGGAAGTGAGAGGGGAGATGAAGAAGAAGAAGGTCCAAGGGTAATTTGCCCCTATGTCACAACCCATTCATCACTAACAACATTTATTTGAGGTGAGAATTTAGAATTTATGAAACCAGTGATACCAAACTAGGATTTCACTAAACCATGGGTGGGAATATGTCCTTTACTCATGGCTAAATATAAAAGTCTCTTGCATAATTGTATTGATCGGCCGGCCAATAATTTTCCTTAGGTGCCTCAAAACCACATATATATATAACATAATGAGATTGCATGCATTCTAGCTTGTGAGAAAGATTTTCACAAACGGAAGATAATTTTATTGATGATAATTGAATATAAGGATTTACAATTCTACTACAACAAGCTATCTTCTTTTGTCGTTATTATTTTCTATTTTTTCCAGTTGCTATTCTCTATGAATTACTATGTATTTACACAGAGTTTATATATGTAACTGCACTCTTTCCTTTTAGTCTTTATTATTTAATCATACCTAAGACATGGATTTGATTATTTATATAAGAAAGTTGTATCTATAATATGAATAATGATACAATGCATCTAATATAGTCACCCACGTTTTCATAGCTATCGATGGCTTTTCTTCTAAGGAATAATTGCAATATAAAATACAATCATGTGCATTGACTTGGAAAATAGAGTGTCCTTTGAATAATTAATAATGGCCATTTGCAAGCTCGATTTCAACCAAAGTTATGGATATATTATCCATACCAAACTAAATAGAATAATTAACTAAGATAAAAGATCAAGAATTCAAATTATGAATGTGAAAGGAGCATTGAATATAATATATCCCTATTTTAAATTTAGATGGAACGAAGAAAAATATAAACACAAAAAATCAAAAGATCTGGAATGGATGCATATGCATTGTTTTAGTTATGTAATGACATAATGCATGAGACTGCATTCCGGCCTATTTAACATAACCAAGAGCTATTATTCTATTCAAGATTTCTCCTGTACCTTGTACCTTAAAGGAAAATTTACTTTTAAACTTATACCAATTTATTAATAACGTTGTTCATTTTATCACGTAAAAAGACTTTGACAGAATTGGTTTGCATATGCAGTGCTATGCTTTATATTTATTTTAATTATAATTCTATCTTATTCTAATGTACCATATATAATGTGACTCCTTTTATATAATTACATATATGAAATTCTTATATTTGTCATATTGCCGCCTTATGAAATTCTTGCATATATTCAAAACCATTTCTGTTGAGCCATCTTTAATAAGATTTTTGGTGGAGACCGCGAATATATATATATATATATAGTAAATGCCAAGTTATGGTGCCCTAGCTATCCCAATTCCCAATATTTAAGGTTTTGTTTTGTTTTCTTTATCCTCACATAAAACTGATAGAGACACAATTCACAAAATAAATAACAACTTGTAAATTATAATGCAACTATATATTCATCAACTCGAATTTCATTAATCGGCAATATGAAGCCATTACATTATTATTTATGAAATACATTAATAATAAATAATAATACATTACTATTCTTATGCTTGATCATGGTTTATTTGAATTAAAAAGGGTCAAGAAATCACCAGCATTCATACAAACTGATATTAACGCGAACCCTAAAATATACTTCACCCTCAAAGGCATCAGTCATGAAAGTGGCAATACCTCTAGCCATGAAGAAGTCACCAGTTCCTCCAATCACAGGAATCTCCCTAGTCTTTTCCAAGAATGGATCAGCCCCAGCAAAGGTTACAATACCCTTGTGCTCCGTAGAATTGAACAAAAAAGAGAAACCAAACCAAGTACTAAAGGTTTGTTTCCCGTCGTATAAATAAAGCCCTTGTGCACGTCCAACTGGGGATGAATGCAGATTGTTGTCTAAGGTAATAGGGTCATCGAACACAATTATGTCGCCAAAATGGTTTTGTTCAGCTAAGATAGTTTTGTTGGCCCGAGCCGGTGCAGCTACAATTGCTGAAGTTGCGTTCTCCGCGTTCTGTCCATTGTAAAGTATGTCATGAAAGTAGACCACAAGCGTTTTACAAGGCTTGCGTGATTTCTTTTTTTGAGTGGCTGAAGAGGTAGAGACGATCAACAGGAGACAGAAGAGAAGTGAAATGAGTTTGGTAGATCCCATTTCTTTTTTCAGCTAACTATATATGTGACAGAAATGCAAGAAATGTATGGTTTGAGGATAGCTGCACTGGTGTCGATATATTTATACTGTTGTGAGTTATTGGCTCTCCACGACTCCTTCATTATCTCCTAGACTGGGTCCACTTCTTTCTGATCTACATGTTAGACTGGATATATTCTATGCAGGATTATCTGATGCAGGTTTGCATGGAGTTTAATATTTTATGTTGCAGAATCATCTAATTGAGGTGGAACTGATTTGATGTCAGAAAGCTGAACAATTCCAAATTCAACAAATTCCAGATGCAAGCTGAATTTGGAAGATTCTACGCAAATGGAGTTGGGTAATTTAAGTTGCAGAATTATCTAATGCAAGTGGAGCCAATCGGAAGAGAGTCCATTTTCCTTCTCAAATCCTATTGGTCCAAATGGAGGCATGAATTAGTATAAATACCTTGGGATTTTTAATTAAATCCAATATGATCCTAGTATATATTTTATACTTTAGATTTTTCAATCCGATGCAACTCAATATATAGAAAACTAAAATCCAATCAATAAAATCTACACAAACTAAAATTCAATCAAATTCAAGCGGATTTAAGAAAAATATTGCATCCAATTTAATAAAAAGTAAATTGATCATACACCCTATTAATTTTTTTTCTTTCAAAATTTGATTATTTAAAAATGAATTAATTTGGACATTAAACAACTATTAATTAGTTATGCATAGAGAAATGATTATATTAAAAACTCTAGACAAATAATTCTTAAATGGAGATATATAAATTGGTTGTAAATCACAAAAATTAACCATTAAAACTAAAAATTAATTGACACCTAATAGCAAATAATTAAATGAACTAAAATCTGTAAATTAAACGGCATAATTTGATTGAATTGGTGTTAGGGAAGTGATTTTTGGCCCCCATCAAATTGATCAATATCCCCCACTTTTAATTTTTTTTTGACAATTATAACCCTAATGAAACTTACTATAAATGACATAATAATTTCTATATACACTGTACTCTATTTAATTTTTTTTTTTTTTAACCTTTAATTCTTCTTCATAAACC